AAAGAAAAGAAGAAGAAGAAGAAAAACAACCTTAAATATATTATGTTTTACTATTATTATTATTATTAATAAATTTATTATTGACGTTTTTTTGTTTTTTTTTTTTTAATAAAAGAAAATATTTCATATCTGTGGCGATGATGGTAATAATAATAATAATAATAATAATGGAAACAACACTACGAACGAAAAAATTTATTACGCTTTGATGGTAAGTAATTTAGAACCAAAATCGAATGAATGCCATGTAATACGCCATCATTTTTCTTTTCCCGCCTTTTTTTTTTTAAATTTAAAATTCGATATATATTTTTTTTTGTTTGTAGTGACACCAATCAAATCGAACGAAAAAAAAAAATAATAATAATAATGAAAATGATTCACTTAATATTTAATTACGTATCATGTCGTAAATTATATTATTTTTATTTAATAATATTAATAATAATAATAATAATAATAATAATAATAATAATAATAATAATGATGATAATAATCGATTATTTTTATATTATTTAATTTAAAATCGATATATCGATCGTGGATTTAAATTTCATTCATTCATACACATACTTATACTTATATTTATATATATAAAAAAAAATGTCAATTGTTTCCCTCAATAATAATAATAATAATAATAGTAAAAATTAGCTTTCAAACACATTTTCGCATTATTAAATTATTTATTTATTAATTTATTTTATTATCATTATTATTATTAATAATTTTTTTTTATTAACGTTGAAAATTAAAATCGATAATAATAATAATAATATAATAACGATAAAAAAAATTATTATTATTATTTATTTATTTATTTTCAAATCGTTAAAAAAAATAATAGAAAAAATAATAAAAAATAAAAATAAATAAATAAATAAAATAAATGAATAATAAATAAAAACTGCTTCTATCAGTCATTTTAAGATCTAAATATGCAATTTTTATTACGTCAATTAATAAAAATTTATTATTATCATTATTTTTTATTTATTTATTTGTAATTTTTTTTAATAATTAATTAATTAATCAATTTATTTATTTATTTACTTATTTAATAAATTATTAATTTGTTTTTTTGTTTTATGTTTGTGTTGTTTTTTGTTTTCATTCATTTTTACACTTCCTTAATGTTTAACAATTAATTCTATTATTTATTTATTTATTTATTTATGTAATATATATATATATATATATATATATATATATATATATATATATGTTTATGTATACATACATACGCTTTCACGATGTTAATAATAATTAATGTTTTTTAATAAAAAATTAAATAATAAAAAAATAAATAAAATAAAATTAGTTTTGTTTAACGCGTTTGCGAATTTTTTTCTCCCCCCTCCCATCCCATCCCCTATGCCCCTCCCTCCCTCCCCTTTTTATCATTTCGTTATTATAATCATCATTATCATTATTAATGGCAATGTAGATATGTAAATAATTAAATTATTAAAATAATACATACATATATATAATTAATAAAAAAAAATCGACTTGAATTTAATTTAAAAAAAAAAATCTAAATTAATAACCGTCGCATGCACGCACGCACGTGTGTTTACGAATGCGTTTAGTTTACATATACATAAATTAAAAAAAAAATTAATAATAATAATATAAATTGTTTTAATTAGGGAGTCCTCGTGATTTTAAACTATATAAAAAAAAAAAAAATTTTCTCAATATATATTATCGTCATCATTATCATTATTACTAGTACTCTAATTATCATTATTATCATTATTATTATTTATTTACTTATTTGTTTGTTTTTTTTTTATAAATGATTTTATACAAATATTTTTTAAGTTGTAGAAATGAAAGAGAACTAGTATTAAAACTAACGGAAAGTTTTTTTTAAATTTTATTTTATTATAGAGATCAATAAAACTATAATAATAATAATAATAATAGTAGCAGCACGATTTGTTCTTTTTTTTTTTTTCATAAAAAAATTTTCAATAATGACTTTTTTTTTATTTTTATTAATAATAATAATAATAATAATATTTTAACTTAATAGTGTATTATTATTATTTTGTCTTTTAAGTTTTCTTTTTATTTTGTTTCTTCCTTTTTCTTTTTATTTACAATTTTTTTTTATTTTTAGGAACTCAACCGTAAGGAAAATTTACGTTTAATAATAATAATGATAATAATGATAAAAATAATAAAAAAAAAAAAGGAAAGGAATAATTTATTAAATTATTATTATTATTTGTTACTTTGTCAAAAGACAATCATTTTAATGTTTTTAATTTGATCGAGTAAATATTAAAATACGGTATAAATTAAAAAAAAAAAACTTCATTAATAATAATAATAATAATAATAATAATAATAATAATAATAATAATAATAATAATGATTTGAATGAGGGGTTGTGAAAAAATTTTATTCGCCTTTTTTTTGAAAAAAAAACTCACGTCAAAATTTACGAGATTCGCGTATTTTTTTTTTTTCGTCAATATTACAAAAAGGAAGTGCGTAAATATATAAAAAAAAAAAAAACGCGCGCGTTAAATGAAATTTAAATTTTAAAAAAAATATTTGCTGCCATTTTATTTTTAAAAAAATCAAAAAAAATTTTATTTTTTTTCGTTGTGTTAATATTAAAAACAAAAACAATAAACAATAATAATAATTATTATAATAATAGTACATACGCGCATTTCATCATCATAATCATAATTATAGGAAACGCGCGTCGAATTTGTACACGTACACAAACGTCTTTCTTTTTTCGATTTTTCTAAACGATTCCATAATGGCACGAACGCGTAATGAGAAACTTCAATAAACAAATAATAATAATAATAATAATAATAATAATAATAATAATAATAACAATTCGAAAAAAGTTTCTTTTTTAATTAAAAAACAAAAGATGAAAAACGCGCGTAAGCGAACTACCATTTTGTTTATTTTTATTATTATTAAAATCAACACTGTAATCATCATCGTCATCATTGTTATTCGTTAAACTATTTTCACTTACGTGTTCGTTATCGTTATTATCATTATTTATTTATTTATTTACAAATTTCGCGTTTTTATTAAATAAAAAAAAATGGCTTCCTTTTAATTATTATTAATTCATTTTTTTCCCGTTTAAAATAAAAAATTTTAAAGGGTGGTTTCCGCATTAAAAATCATCATCATTATCGTCAAAAAAAAAAAAATTATTAATTAAAAATTTCATTATTATCAACATCATTATTTTTTATATAAATCGTTTCATTGATAATAACTTATTATTATTAATTATTAACATTATTATTAATAATCGTTTATTAAATTTAAAAAAAAAAAAAGAAAAAAATTCGCCAACACGTTTTGTTATTATTATTAATGCGTTATTTGATTAATAAAAAAATTCCCTTTTTTCCCTCCGCCCGCCCGCCCCCCCCCCCGTGTTAAAAAAATTAAATAAAAAATTTTCACGCGTATTTATTAACATGAGTGCGTGAGTGCTTGCGTACTCATGTTGCACTCGTGTTTGAGTACGCATGCACTTTTGTATGTATAAATATTACATATATATATATACCTTATGGAGTACTAGGTAAATTGAACTGAAACCTTTAAACAGGTTTTTTCTATTTGTTGTTACCTTTCGGTGCAAACAATTAATCAATCAATCAATTAATTAATTAATTATCGATACAATAATACAAAAATTTTCTTCCTTTTTTTTTTTTTTTTTTGGATTTTGTTAACAAATAAAAAAAAAATCCAGAAACTTTAGTATTAAAGTTTTTTTTTTAATATCTCCATCTTTTTCCTTTTTTCTTTCTTTCCCCCCTTTATTTTTATTTCCCTTCTTCTTCTTTTTCTTATGTTATTGATTAGATTACACGGAATTTGTTTTTTATCTTTTTTCTTTCTTATTTATTTTATATTATTTTATTTATTAATTTATTTTATTTCTTACCTTTTGGCTTGCACCTCATCTACCAAACTCAATGGTAACCATTAGTAAATGCAGCCGGTATCAAGGGTCCCTGAAAATAAGATAAAAAAAAAAAATTTATTTTATTGAAAGAGAGAAAGAAAGAAAGAGAGAGAAAGGGGGGAGGGGAAATCTGGTCGGAGTAAAAAAACTCGTTTAATTTAAAATTATTAGGTTTAAAGTAATTCAAACAATATTTTAAAAAAAAAGAAAAAAGTTTAAGAAATAATTTTTTACAAAAAAAATAAAAAAAAAGAAAAACCTGGGAAAATGAATATCGTAAAAATTTAGTCGTAAAATAAAAAAAAAAAATCCTGCCTGCTAGTGACACTTTTTTTTCTCTTTCTTTCTTTATTATTATTATTATTATTATTATTATTATTAATTTTTTAAACTTTTTTTGTCTTTTATTTATGCTTATACATGTTCATATATACATAATGATTTAAATTATTTATTTTTATGATTATCAACAACACACCACGTGTCGCATAAAAAACAATTACAATAGACGAACGTTAAATCATTACTATTATTATTATTCGAATAAAACGTTACAGATAAATCATTTATTTATATTATTATTAACAATTTAAAAATATAAATAAATAAAAATGTTTTTGTTTTTGTTGTTATTGTTTATTCCCGTCGTTTAATTAATCATTTTTCCTTTGTTTCCTTTTTCTTTTTTATGGAATTTATTATGCAAACAATTAAACAAAAATAAATAAATAATTTTTTTTTGTCTCAAAGGGTTGTTTTCTCCCTTTTCTCCATCCCTTAAAAAAAAAATATTTTAAAACTTTTATTTCTAACTAACGCGCACAAAAAAAAAATAAATGCGTTTATGTTGTTTTAAACACGAGAAAAAAAAAAATTTGTTTTTTTTTTGGAATCTGTTAAAATTTTCACGGAAAATTTTCCGATATATTATTTTTTACTACCCTCTAATAATACCTCCCCCCATTTAATTTTTCCCAATACGCTTTTCTCTCTCGTACGCACAACAAAAAAATTTTTTTTTTTTTTCTCCTTTGACTGACGGAAGTAAACAACAAATTTATCGTTTTTTTGAAAATTTTCCAGGAAATTTCTCGTTTAAAAATAAAATATTTTTAACGTTTTTTCTTATAGAAAAACGTTCGTGTGATCGTTTATTCCCTTCAATCCCCCATCATTCCCCCAATAAACTTTCCGAAATTTTTACTCATGGAAACAACAACAAATATTATTATTACCATGAAAATTATTAAAAACCGTGAGACAGGAAGAAAATTTTTTAATCACGTTAAAACGTGTAATTAGATTCTTTTTACAAAACGTTTCTCTAGGTGGGGGGAGGAGGGAAAGGGGGTCTTTTTCGAGTTTTTAAAATTCCTAAAACGATTTCGTGTCCTCGAGTTAAAAATTCACTCCTTTATAAAATGTACTAATATGGAGACTTTTTTCAGGCACACGAGACAAACAAAGGAAAATTAAAAAAAAATTAAATAAATAAGAGAGAGAGAAAGAATGAAAGAGAGAGATGCATGATAACTTACCGGATTATAATTAATTGGAGCTCGACTGACGGCAATGGCAGGAAAGCCAGAAGGTTGTGGAGATGCTGCCTGGACGTAACCGGCGACGCTATCAGCTGCACTGGAGTTATACATGTCAATAGTAGGACCCGGAGAATTAGCCGGAGGAAATCCGGCCCGTGTGTTTGTCGCATGCGGTGATGCTGGAGGGCCGAAGCCTTGAGCTGCAGCAGCAGCAGCAGCCTGATAATTATTCATAACTAAAAAAAAAAACGAGAAAAGTCAAAACAAAAAAAAAAAAAACAATTTTTTAATTAATTAATTAATTAATTCATTATTATTATTTTTTTCCTTCGACGTCATTAATAATAATAATAATAATAAAATTAATTCCAATTTTTTTTTCTGTTTTATTAATAATTTTTTTTTTAATTCAATCACTAAAATAATTTAATTTTTTTTTTTTAATAATAATAAAAATCTAATTTATTTAAATAAATAAAAATAAATAATAATGATAATAACGATTATCATTATTATTAATACTATCTATTAATTTAAAAAAAAAAAAAAAAAAAAAAAAACCTTTTTTT